AAGTGGTACTCTTTCGTTTTAAGTTAATGTTTGACCAAGTAACATTCACCAACCACAGATTTGTTACATTACAGAATCAGAGCTTTGGGAAAACATATTAAATAATTAGAATTCAAATACATATTAACGCGGTTTGTTTAGGACTTAGAACTAAAGGCGTGACGTTGTAGAAAGCACGTTCAGATTCTAGCTCTCTGTTGATGATTTCTCCCGGTCGATATTCATAACGCTTTCAAGGCAACAGCTCATTTTCTTCTTCTTTCTTTCCTTCAATAATTTTTTTGTGTCTCGTCAAATTAACCAACCAGAATCTCATGACTTTTTCTTCCTTTGAAAAAATCGAATATTAAAATAAGATTATATTGTTGTACTAATAATAAACCTAAAGAAAAGTGGAGGCAACATCAAAAAGTCGAATGTTTGTAAATTTCTCTAAAAGAAATACTTGATATGCCTACTATCACAATACTATCTTTTATGGATTACCAATTGTTATTAATTGGTCAAAAAATTTGGAATGTCTTTTCTTGATAAAAGGGGAAATCCACTTATTGATAGATATGATATGTCGCTCTTTCAAAGAACGGCTAATTAACAGTCAATAAATGGATGTGAACGGTGAACTGTAATGACTAATAACCTAAATCAAGATTTTCTTCATATGAAAAGTTAATATCGAAGGAGACTTGACGGAGTCCTTTTTCATTTTTGAAAAATCCAGTTAAATATTCCATTCACTTATACTGAAAAAGAAATTGTTGATCAAGTATCTCGTTAACTCGACTAGAAAATTACTTTAAACAAAATCCAGAAATCTATATATAGGACCAAGTGATGCTTAGAACAGACGTTTAGAACGGAGTGACGCTTGGAACAGACGTTTAGGACGGGACGTAATCATATGTGTTGGAGAAACACCAATTTTTGCAACTCGACTAATCCACATCAGTGACAAGCGAGTAAAGAATGAATTCTCATCGATACGAGCTTTAGGAGATCGCAAATACTACAAATACCTAAAGTTATCGTTTGCAACAAGAATTTAGTTTTAATTCAATCTATCTTTTCTAATATACTAGGTCTGTTCGTTTCTGTATCTGGATGCTGCATCTAGCTGCAAATGTCCAAATGTTGTTCGTTTTTTCAAAAACAATTTGTGTTCAGATGGATGCAAATTGATTAGCATCTCAAAAATCTGGATATTATAGATGCTGAGAAATAGAGAGTTCAGATGCAGCGTTTGCATCTGGTTCATGTAAAAAATGAAAAATCTTAATTTTCCATCAAAACGTAATTTTTGGTTTTTCGCCAAAAATAAAAACTTTCCGTTTCCCGCCAAAGACGAAAAATCTTGGTTTCTCGTCAAAAACGAAAACTCTTGCTTTCTCGCCAAAAACGCAAAATCTCGATTTTTCGCTAAAAACGAAAAATCTCGGTTTTCTGCCAAAAACGAAAAATTTATGTTACTTGCCAAAAACACAAAATCTTAATTTTTCACCAAAAAAGAAAAACTCTCGGTTTCTCGAAAAAACGCAAAATCTCGATTTCTCGCCAAAAACGCAAAAATTTCAATTTTCGCTACAACGAAAAACTCTCGCTTTCCCGCGAAAACGCAAATCTCGATTTTCCGCCAAAAACACAAAATTTTGATTTCCCATCAAAAATGAAAAAATCTAAGTTTCTCGCCAAAAATACAAAATCTCGATTTCCCGCCAAAAACGAAAACTCTTGGTTTCTCACCAAAAACGCAAAATCTTGATTTTCCGCCAAAAACAAAAAACTCTAGCTTTTCCGTCAAAAACGCAAAATCTCGATTTCTCACCAAAAACGTGAAATCTCGATTTCTCGCTAAAAAAGAAATAATCTCGGTTTCTCGCGGAAACGCAAAATCTTGATTTCTCGCCAAAAACGTAAAATCTCGATTTTCCATTAAAAACGAAAACTCTTGGTTTCTCGCCGAAAACGTAAAATCTCGATTTCCTGCCAAAAACACAATATCTTTATTTTCCGTCAAAAACTCAAAATTCCAGTAAAAAAAATTTCCGTCAAGTATAAAAAATCATGTTTTCCGACAAAAAATGCAAAAATAAAAATTTCATGTATTTTTAAAACTTAATTTGGTAAAAATATTATTTATTAAAAATAATAATTCTTTTTAGTCATTTTATATATTTTGCATCCACTATTTTTCTAAATTCAAAAACGAACAATTTAGTATCTAGATGTAGCATCTTGATGCAAAACCTAGTTTTAAAAACAAACAATATCTAGATGTTGTATCTAGATGCTGATCTAAATGCAAAATCTAGATGCAGCATCTAGATAAAAAAACGAACGGGACCTAAATTGTAAGAATATTTTTTGGGTTGAATATAATTTTACAAGGAAATTAATACTTATTTGACCTTTTAAAATATGCACTTTTAACGAGGGGTTGTGGGGTGGGGGGGGGGCATAATATTTTTATTTAATGAAGAAGTGTGTATTTTGCACATTTTCTCGAGTAGGAAAAAGATATTGTAAATTACTTTGTGCATTTAGTAGATTGCGTGAGTGGCTAGAGTACATCGTTGGTTAAAACATGTTTGTCGTTAGACACTCTGTCCATTTCAATTCATTTACCTTATAGATTTTCTTTTTGTTAAACAAAGAATCCTTTAGAATTGGTCATAAAATGTTTTCACTATACTATATGCGTTATATATATATAGCAAAATCTTTTCTCCCTTTTATAACATCACGAATGGCAATGTATATTGGATTCTAAGACTTACAAATAAAAATAAAGTAACAAAACAAAGTCGAATAATATCACTCCTCTTGGAATAATCTGATTTTCATATCGTCCCCCCCGTATATTTAATTAATTTGTATGGAATCTCTGAAATTAAACGCAAAGAAAAAGTCTTCGGGATGTTTTCTTGTTTAATTACTAAACACTTTAATAACAACGTCGGACTAGACAAAATTTGTGTATCAATAGTTGACAAAATAAGGTTTTTGCTTGATTCCTTAACATTTATTTCCAGTAGCGCTTCTAACACGACTGAGTATTTATTAAGCCAGTTTGCAAGAAGACAATGCTTTCTAGATTCATTAAGATATGTTATATTCTATATTTTGACGGTTTTTACTATGTTTTCATAGGTTTTTAATAAATAAAAAAAACTTAAGCATCATAAGTTTCGAATCAGATGAAGTTTCCACTGTTAGATTGTGCTTAACCTCACTCACAAGATAGTTGTAGATGCCATCTTTCCTTAAGTAATTTGAAGTAAAACGAAGAGCTGTATCTCAAGATATGCTCATTTTACTGAATAGTGATCTGTTTGGCGATAAAACGGAGCAAGACGAAGAAATAAAGAGCTGATAAAGTAATAATCGAAGAGCTGTATCTTTCTAAATTATTAGAAATGTAACCTAGTTGGCTTACACAACTATAAAAGCACAGAGTAACCACAAAAATCAACAAGTCATCACAGTTACAAATCACCCTAAATCTTTTAGTTTCGTCTAGGCTTTTTAGTTATTTTTATGTAGTTTTCATGAAGAATGAAATTCCCCTTCCTCTCTACGATTAGAGAACTAATTCTAAAACCTCTTCTTATTTACTAATGGTTACGGTCATTTTCCTTTTTTTTTTTTTTGGCTTTGACTTTTCGTTGGAATTAAGGATCTGTAAAGGAAATTTCATGGTTTGCTAGATAAGATTTAGGACAATAAATGGCGCTTTTTGATAAGTCATTCTTCGTCTAATTTTGTTTTGGGACTCTTAATAAGTGACTTTAAGCTCATTCATGTGTCTAAGTGAGCTTAAAAGTTGATTTTTAGTGATTAAGTGTTTTTTTTTTCCTAGAGGAGGGTACAGTGAGGCGAACAAGGTCTCAACTGATTTGATACTGGATGAAACAAAAGCTAGGCAAAATCTTCGACATGAAGTCCATCTTTTTGTGTGAGATGCATGCTTGTGTGTTTATGTAGCTGACTTTGGACGGTTTAGCATTTTTAATAGTGTATTTATTATATGATCGAATCTTTGTAAAGCGACCTGCAAGCTACATAGACGACTTGTGAGTTGAGTAGTTTTTCAGTCTCCTCTAATATGACTAATGTGTTGTTCACATGTCCTGATTATTTTGGCAATCGCAAAAACATGCTATCAATTTTGCATGCTTACTTGTCAAAATATGTAAAGGCGCATTTACTTTTTCTTTCTTTTCTTCTTTACTCTGATTGCGGATAAAACCGAACCAAGTAACCAACCAATTATTAAGTCAGTGCTCCTTGTACTTTTCACCTACTATTTTTTATTTTACTGAAAGGCGAAAACATCATGATTCACGATGATCATTTCCACTTCAGTTATAACTTTCTTTGGTCACATATGGATGATACATGCAAAAGTAAAATTTCAATGGTTTTATTCTCATTGTTTTTATAAAAAAAACTATTCAAGCTTTTACCAGCCGACGACTATAGCTGTCGGTTAGCCTTCTCACCGGATTTGTTAATGGATCTAAACCCTGACATAGTTTCAACTTGCCATATGAGAAGGGCTATATCATTTCACGTTTGTGGAGAATCAATTTCTAGCTTAAACCTATAAGACATCTCCTCTAGAAATGGAAACCACTAATCCATTAACACTTAGTTTTGTTCTGGTAGTCGAGTTTAAAAAAAATCTATATATTTCTAATAGGTGTAGACCATTACAAAAATTATATTGAGATTGAAAATCCAATGAGAGTTTGGCACAGAATCCTTATATATGAAAGACTAAATAATAAAAATAGAGAATGTTGATTCAGTGTGGAATTCGTCTACAATGCAAAAGAATTTGACCAGTCGATGAAAAAGATTTTTTAAGTTAAAGAAACGTTCATATGGCTTTTAAAGAAATTTTGATAAAGACAAGTCGACGACACACTCTGTCTCTGATTATAAGTTTTCTTTTTTTGTTAGCAATTTTATAATCACCAAACTCAAGCTATTGTGTGGCCCGCATGTTGTCTTCTTTTTTTCTTCTCTCTTTGCTTCTATTTATGTTTCTCTGTTTCCCCACCCAAACAGAAAGAAAAATCTACAGCCACTTTTCTTTTAGTGATTTCTTTCCTTCATCATTCACACATTTCTCTCTGCTCTGAAGGATTGAAAAAGAACCCTTTTAGGTAATTTTTACCTTTATGTAATTGGAATTGTATTGATGATTTTCTTGGTTCATTTCAATATGTAATTATCTCATCCGGCTAAAAGTTTCAAGCTTTTTGCCTCATTTTTGTTTCTTCTGTTTTTCTTCTGTGCATGTTCATAATTTACAGTAAAGCTTTTATCCTAGCAGCCCCTTGTGGGTCTTGAAATATTGATCTTCTTAACTGCTTTTGTGATTAAAAACCTATACTGTATATCAATTTTTGTAGTATGAAACATTAAGATGACTCTTATGGTTTTTTTTTTCTTGGTTTATATCTTCTTGTTGTTCTTGCAAAACCCATGATGATTTCAAGTTTCTCATGCAAAATTTTTTGCTGTTTTTTTGGTAGACACATGTACATCTTTTTGACAAAACAGTCCTTTTGCATCTGAGTAAAAAAAAAAGAAAAAAACTAGCTTTTTGTCTTATATCTGAGATTCCCTTATGCTTAAATTTTTATAGTTTGTCTCATGAGTCATGACCTTTTCCACTCGCTTTGTTCATCTCTGTTCTCTGACTAGAATCTCTTAATCTGTTAGGCCAACCAGAGATGCAAAACGGTCACGAAGAAACTGAAGACCAAAACCAAATGGTATGTTTTGTCTTTAACTGATTATCTTCTCTCTATCACTGTTTAAAACTGCTATGAGTATCAAATGTTTTTTGTGATTGTGGAAATAATTCGTCATGATTAGGCACTGTGGTCTTTACAATTCTGAATTTAGCTTCTTTTTTTCACTTGGGGTCATAATCTTTTTTTTTTTTGATAAAAAAATGGGGTCCTATATAATCTTTATAGGCCAGAGATGATAAACTTCCTCCATTTTCATGGGAAAGGAAGTTGAACAGTCAAGCAAAGACCCCTTCTCAGTTCAAACTGACTAAACGAGATCATCTTCATTTGGTAATATCATCTTTCTCGCGCTCTACCATTCTTTAGCTAGAAAAGGATGCCTGAATAAAGATTCTCCAATCAAAGAGACATATTCATAAACGAGGATTTTCCGTTCAAAAAAAAAAGTTACAAAAAAATTATAAGGATTCCTCTTTCTTTCTTTACAAGTTATGATTTAGGTCAGATGCTCTGTTCTTCGGAACTTAAAAAAAAAAAAAAACTAAATCTCTCTCCCTCTCTCTGTTTTGGCTTTTCAAAAGTTTCCATTAGGCTACAGATTGTGGCGTCACACCAAAGAAGAAGCCGCAAAAGGAAGAGTAAGAGATCTTTCTCACAGAATTTTTATCCTCACAAAACATTTGATGACCTTTGTTTTCATCAAATTCTGAAAACTTGCCAAAACCTGCAGGCTTCGATTTTCGACATCTTCAGAAAACACCATATAACCGGAGATCATGGCGTCCCTTTAGGAGGAATTGGGTATGAAATTGATATAAGCTTCAAAAATTTCTTAGAGCACAAAAAATATCAATGCTCTAAACGTTTAAAATCCTCAGTTGCAATGTATTAATGTACAAAACCGCTGGCGAAAAAACCGTGTTTCAGTGCAGGAAGCATTGGAAGGAGTTACAAGGGTGAATTTCAGCAGTTCAAGCTGTTCCCAAAAGTTTGCGAGGAAACTCCAATCCTCACAAACCAATTCTCTGTAAGTGAACAATCATGAAACTTCCTGAATTCTTCTGTTGTAAACCATTTCTTGTGTCTTTGATGGCTTTGTGATTTAACCCTCCCATGCTTCTTGATCTGTTTAAATTATAGGTTTTTGTTTCTCGCCCGGGCGGTGTGAAACACTCGACTGTTTTATGCCCAACAAAGCCAGAAGTGATTAAGTAAGTCAAATCCATTCTTTCTTTCTTGCGTCTACATCAGATTCTTAGTTAAAGAAGCAGAATGAATTTACAAATGATCTAAATTATGCTATTGTATATGATTGTGCAGAGACAATGGAGGTTATTTGTGCAGAGGCCAAGCTCCAAATATAGGAATTGAGTCTTGGGACTGGAACATGACAGGGGAAAAATCCACCTACCATGCTCTTTATCCAAGGTCTTGGACAGTCTACGAAGGTATAATGTTCGTCTGAAATGTTTCTAACCATGTTTATACTACAAATTGCAAATTCTTGATTTATAAGTTATGAAAATGTTTTAACTTGATGAACAGGTGAACCTGACCCTGAACTCAGAATAGTCTCTCGTCAAGTCTCTCCCTTTATACCTCATAATTACAAGGAAACCAGTCTTCCGGTTTCGGTTTTCAACTTTACGGTATGAATAATCTATGGCGTTTACCTCAACGGTATAACTCAGGAAACAACTTGTAGCTGAGCTATTTTGGTTATGTCTTGTTTCAGGTGACTAACACTGGAGAAGAACAAGCAACTGTTACTTTGCTCTTTACTTGGGAGGTAACTAGTCTCAATACATAGCAACTCTCCCCTTGATCATTTAAGAACCTTTAATAGATTGGCTTCCTCTGCCTATTTTGTAAGAAATATTCGATACAAAAGTGATCCATTTTTCGCTGTGGTTAATTAGAATTCTGTGGGAGGAGCTTCTGGGTTAACTGGACAGCACTTTAACTCAACAATGATGTAGGAATCTCCATCCAATGCTGAAACAGATATTTCTATGTGCTCATTTTAGTGACATGGATCTTGTTTTCTGTTATGGAATCTTCTAGGGCAAGAGATGGAGTTCATGCAGTAGCTTTAAACCACAAGTAAAACACACTTTCTCTGGCTCTTTCATTAATTTAGTGTTGATCATTGGAAGATTTTGTGTTGATGTTTGTTATGCAACTTATCTTGCAGGACAGCAAATGGACACCCACCAATTACCTACGCAATTGCAGCAAAAGAAACAGAAGACGTTCGTGTCTCCTCTTGTCCTTGTTTCTTAGTATCCGGTACAACTCCTAACAAAATCACAGCAGGAGATATGTGGGATGAGATTAAAAAGGTAAGACTCTTTTGGTTAAAAACTAATCTTTTAATTTTCAAGTGTTTTGTATCACTATTAAAAGGAAAGATCAAAAGTTTAAAGCTTTTCGTTTTTCTTTGCTCCTCTTAAGAACGCATCATTCGACAAGTTAACATGCAATGCATGCACTCCATCAAAGCCTGGAACTTCCATTGGAGCCGCCATAGCAGCAAAGGTGAAAGTTCCACCGGGATGTGAACGTACAGTCACGTTTTCACTCTCTTGGGATTGTCCTGAGGCTAGATTCGACAAGAAGACTTACCACAGGTATGCGTATATGACCCTTCTCAATCCAATTCAGGAAATGAAATCTTGTTTGTAACTTGAAATTCTTTTGCTCATAGACGATACACAAGATTCTATGGCGGTTTAGGAAATGCAGCGGTAGCAATGGCTCGTGATGCTCTTCTCAGTATGCAACAAACATTCCCTTTTCTTTTTCCCTGCCCTCTACTTAATCTAAGAGATTATCATCTCATAACGCTTTCTTTTTTTCTTGACTGTTCTTAGACTTTTCTGACTGGGAGACTCAGATTGAAGAGTGGCAAGCTCCTATTCTTGCTGACACAACACTTCCTGAGTGGTAATACTTTTGCTTCAACTCCTTTGCCAAATTGAATTGAGCTGAAGAAAGTAACCAAGAAATTGTTTTCAGGTATCGAATAACTCTCTTCAACGAACTATACTATTTCAACTCAGGAGGAACCATCTGGACAGGTAACAAATATTTGATTCTTCAACAAACATATATTTCTCTAACTTTCAATCTTCTTAACCGGATTTCTCAATTTTGTTTTTTCCCTATTATCTGTAGATGGGTTACCACCGAAGCAAAGCCTAGATAGTATAGGAAAAAGAAAGATCTCTCTCAGTACATCAACTATAGACAATACTGAGCCAGACCAGAACAACATAGCCTTGGACATCTTGGGAAGAATCGATGCGGTCTGCTCACAGATTCATGCTCCTCTATCCTCAACACTCGGAACCGCTCTTACTCAGAACACTCAAGAAAACATTGGACAATTCCTTTACCTTGAAGGGATTCAGTATCTAATGTACAATACCTACGATGTTCATTTCTACTCCTCTTTCGCATTGCTCATGCTTTTTCCAAAACTCGAGCTAAGCCTCCAGAGAGATTTCGCTGCAGCGGTTCTAATGCACGATTCCAGCAAGAAACAGGTCATGAGCTCAGGCGAATTCGTTACAAGAAAAGTCCTAGGAGCGGTTCCTCACGATATCGGTTTGAACGATCCATGGTTTGAAGTAAATGCTTATAACTTGTTCAACACGGATAGGTGGAAAGACTTGAACGCCAAGTTTGTTCTTCAAGTCTATAGAGATGTGGTCGCGACCGGTGACCTAAACTTTGCAAAAGAGGTTTGGCCATCAGTTTACACTGCAATCGCTTACTTAGACCAGTTTGATAAAGACGGAGATGGGATGATCGAGAATGAAGGGTTTCCGGATCAGACTTACGACGCATGGTCTTGCACAGGCGTGAGCGCTTACTGTGGAGGTCTCTGGGTCGCGGCTCTTCAGGCCGGATCTGCATTGGCCCTAGAAGTTGGGGACAAGGGAGCTGCGGTTTACTTCAATGCCAAGTATGAGAAAGCAAGAAGCGTGTACGAGAAGCTTTGGAATGGTTCTTATTTCAATTACGATAACAGTCGAAGTGGCTCAAGCTCGTCAATCTTGGCTGATCAATTGGCTGGACAATGGTAAGTGTTAAACAGAACATGACTAATTCTTCGTTTAGAGGTTGAATAGTGAATAATGAGTATTGGCATATAGGTACGCGAGAGCGTGTGGATTGAAGCCGATAGCGAAAGAAGAGTGGATAAAGACAGCTTTGGAGACGATCTACGACTTCAATGTGATGAAAGTGAGAGAAGGGACACGTGGAGCTGTGAACGGGATGTTACCTGATGGACGAGTAGACACAAGCACGATGGTGTCGAGGGAGGTTTGGGCCGGGACTACATACTCGGTCGCGGCTTGTATGATTCAAGAAGGGCTTGCGGAGAAAGGGTTTAGGACAGCAAGTGGAATCTATGAGACCGCTTGGTCTGACCGGGGTCTCGGGTAGGCTAACCGTGGGATAAGTTTTCTTTGTTAACTCATCTATGTTCGTGATGTATTAACAAGTTTTGTTCGGCTTTTTTTTGGGATGCAGCTGCTCATTTCAGACACCAGAAGCATGGACCACGACTGGCGAGTATAGATCACTTTGTTACATGAGGCCTTTAGCTATATGGGGGATACAGTGGGCACACACAATGCCACAACCTAATAAAGAACAAGATCAATTGTTCAAGCATCAAGAGGAAGTGGAAACGTCTGTTCTGTTTGAGCAACATGCCGGGTTTATCAAAGTGGCTCACTATCTGAAAACCACCAAGGGAAAAGACCATAGAAGCCGCTTCCAGGCTGCGTACGAGACCTTCCTCAAGCTAACCCGCCTATAGGCCACAACCTAATAATGAGTCGCAGACGACCAGTTCTGGTCAGACTGCATAGCTTCTTTTTTGTTCCCTCTTTTTTTTTTTCTGTGGTTGTTTCAGTTGTTGGTTATTACTTTACAAGTATAGACGGAACCAAATGTTAATAAACTGTCTACACCGTCTTGGATATGTAATTGTTTAAGATCTCAATTGCTATTCTTTAATTCCCTTAAACGTTTGATACAGTCTGTTCAGTCTTAAGAACATGATCCAGTGCTTCTCTTTACCATAGAATGAAGACGTAGATGAGACAACACTTCCCATTGTAAGAACATCTAAGTTGTTTTTATTTAAGAATTGTAATACCTGAGAAACAGTTCGGTAAAAACTCTTTATAATAAGGCTTGCGAACCTAACTACTAAATGTCGATGAATACAAAACCTTCAAAGCAAGAATCAGAAATAAAAGATAATAACTTAGATTTTAGAAACACCTTAAACACGATAATAACAGCAGTACAGCAGAAGAAGAAGAAGAAGAAGAACAAATTAATGTGTACTCAGATGACGGTGCAAAATGTAACGGAGGAGTCATACAGGTTTAGATCCAATGATAATAAGAAGGCACATCAAAGACCTGGGGAACTACTGAGACTGTCTAAAACCGGACGAGCAGTTTAGGCATGCAAGTCTACTAACCTTGCACACTTATGATCTTCTAGCGAGGCGCATCATAAGCCTGGTCTGCATCGTACTGATTTGAGGGTAGGACTAATTCACTGTGCTGTTCCAGGAGCAGCTGCATAGCCTGCTGATTGAGTTGCAGATTGCTCATAGCCGGCCTGAGCAGGTGCAGTCTGAGGATACGCGGTTTGGCCAACAGGTGCAGAATATGCTGATGCGTTTCCACCTCCATAGCTAGGATATTGAGAGCCGTATCCATAGTTTCCATTGCTCTGAGCCGGTGCATTACCATAAGCCGGCTGTGTAGAGGGATATGAACTATAACCACCGGTTGGAGGTACTTGCCCGTACCCAGCTGAAGTTTGCTGCTGCACACCAGAAGTTGGCTGAACACTGTGCTGCTCATAAGCTGGGGCAACTGGTGGTGCTTGTGTACCATTATAACCATCAGACGGTGCTGCAGAGCTGTATGAAGGGTAAGTTTGCTGAACAGGCGCATTTGATGCATAGCCATATTGCTGTTGTGGAGCCATGTTTGAACCATACGATGGTGCTGCTTGAGTTGGACCTTGGTAAGGCACATCACCAGAAGGTGCTGCTGGCCTTGGAGGCCCATATCCTTGCTCAACTGATCCCTGCATCCCGTAAGGTCTAGCTGGTTGCTGCATTTGGTGTTGACCGCCTGCCGGGGGATAGCCCTGTTGGGAGCCTCCATATCCTCCATAAGATTGCTGCATAGGAGGATTATCATAGTTTGGCTGATCATACATCTGCCCATAATTTTGCGGAGCACCTGACTGGGAGTAAGGAGCAGCATGGGACGGCACAGGACCTGAGTTTTGAGCTCCTTGCCTACCGTAATAATCGTATGGACCAGAATGTGGAGGTCTTTGTTCCCAACCAGAACCATATCCACTTCTAGGAGGCATATGTTGTGGAGGATAACCGCCGGAATTGGGAGGTCTGTAATGTGAGCCCGGAGAATGGTACGGTCCACCATGGTGGTAATTGTATGGCATTGAGTGTGGCCCATGAGGACCACGCGAACCCCATTGAGGTGGACCACCTGGTCCTCGGGGTTGGTAAGGAGGCTGGTTATATCCACCAGAATAATGTGATGGTCTTGTATCCTACAAAAGATACAACCATGAAAACTCCTGTCAGAGACAACAAAAGAGTACATAAAATCTCACACAGCTGATAAAAAGAAGAACACAGAAAGCACTGCTATTTATCTGAAACTTATTTGTGCAACAAAGCAGGTCAGCTTCACAGCATATCATGAAATCTCTAAGTTCACAAAAGAATCCAAAATGAGGATACGACTAAAAACACAGCAAGACAACAAAGAATTTCATCAAAACAGGTCATAAGCAGGCATTCAGAAACATCACATATGTTAAAATTATTAAAGCCTAAAAGTTATAACTCTACAACAATTCAGCTGTCAATAGCATTCCAAAACTGTCTACCAACAATTCAGCTGTCAATAGCATTCCAAACTGTTTCAAACTGAGCATAAAGCCTTGGCGTCAACTTAGTACCATAGCCTATGTGAAACTGCAGTACATGTTTGATATCAAAGCCGATTATTTACAGCACGCACAATGGTCTCACCAGGCTCCTCTTTAGTATTTCAAAGATCATTTGAGAAAATGTAACACAACGGTACTGTAGTATATCCATGCTCACACTAAGGTCTTGAAGTTTTCAGGATACAAAAGCAGCCTTACCGACTACTAGAACCTGCAAGTCTGAATCACAAATGCCAAATACCTTCATCCGTAGACCTGGGTGATGTCTACTGTACACCAACAAGGCAATGCTGACCCCAATTGAAAGGTAATGGCCACATCTGCATTTTTAAAGCCAACACCAATTCGACATCGACACTTTAAATTAAAAAATCATGGCAAGTGACATTGGGGACGGAACATATGATCTTCTTAACAGGAGAAAGTGAGCATCTTTCTTTACAATATGCACATAAGATATCCTTCTTATTGCAGCAGCATGAACCAAGTACTCTTTTAGGACATCAACATGCAACTATTCCCTAAATCAGCGCAGCCACCATAAATTTGCACTAAACTTTTAAATTAAGACAGCAAAGCTTTTGCATATATTACAGCAGGAAAGTCAGAAGAACATTTGCCCCATCAAAACAAATCCAACGTGAATCAGCATAATATGAACACAATGATTAAGGCAATGGACCTAAAATTGATCATAGGCAACAAGCTATTTTTACAGAGATTGCATGGACCAGGATATTAGCAAACAAAAATTGCCTACTTAAACTAAAACAGATAGCAGGAACACTGAGAAAACACAGATTTATCACCTCATTAACTATGTAGTTGCATTAGTGAAAATTAAGTCAAAAGCAAACATCAGGATATGATTAACGAACATCTTTGTATACCAGATAAATGATGCATTAAGATGAATGAAAACAAAGCACTTGAACACTCACATGTTACAAATACAATCAGCATGGTTGCAAAAACTAAAAGCAATGACATCGTTCAGAGGAAAAACATCAGAACACAAACCTGGTACATAACATCCTTTATCAACGCAGTAGCAATATCAATCTGCCTTTTATCACCAGAAATACGAACAGTCCTTTCCTTAGACCCATCACCTTCTTCATGTGGTATTAACTATATGAAAAGTATTTTAAACACTATTATCACAACGTATCTCACTACTCGAAATACACTCGACTGAATAAAAGTGGCCACCTGAATGCGTGCTCTCGACTTTGTCTGCATGTTCTTGATAGTTTCCCCACCTCGGCCAATAATCACACCAACCTATCAGTTGAAGATGGATTAGGTTTTTCTTGAAATGATCACTGATCAGGCAGAACAATCACCAGGAAATACCTTATCATTTGGAACTTTAATTTCCATTTGTTCTGGGACCCCCCTTGCAAAAAGGGCAGGTACACCTCCTGATTCAGTCTAGGATCGCAGCAGAAGAAAAAAAAGTAGCCAAATCTTAGGCCTCACAACAAAGTAAAAATTGCTAATTAAAAAAGAAACCAACACTGATGTCAAAGACAACTTTAAACCTCTGCTATAACTTGATTGATAAGCTTCTCTGCTTTCTCAATAGAAGCAAGATTTCCAATTAACTCCACCGGTCTTAAAGCTGAATTTGGATCAGCCTCTGCATCCCTCCGAATTTGGATTTTGGCACCAGAATTGATCTGAAGATGCCGTACCATCTCCCCGCCTTTACCAATAAGCGTGCCAACCTGCGACGCATGCGGAGAGCACATAAATAAACTCAGCAAGACTTACTCATACACGAGTCAAAAAGGAAACCCAATCAAATCACCTTTGAACTTGGGACATCTATTCGGCGAGTTGTGGACTGGGTGTCGTCAACTTCCTTATTAGAACTGCCACCATTTACTTCTTTACTTCCGTCGCCAGTCTCTTCATGAGAACCATCGCCGTTCACTTCCTTACTCTCGTCACCAGTCTCCTTCTGAGAGCCACCAGCAATTGCCTCCTTAGTTTCGTTATCATCTTCCTTGTGAGGGCTGCCATCAGTGACTTCCTTACTTTCAATTTCAACTTCTTTCTCAACAATGGCTTCATTCGTTTCCTTACTATTGTCATCAGCTTCCTTCTGAGAAACAGTATCATTCACCTCCTTACTTTCTTCAACGGAGGTTCCAGCCTCAACAGAAGCTGGTTGGTTATCATCGGATTTACCAATATCATCCATCTTATTCTCAGATTCCTCAGCGTGATTGGGCGCCTGAACTTTTTCAATTAGAGGATTACCATCTTGGTTCTCCACTTCCTGCGCAGTGGGTTCATTAGTTCCCTCTTCCTTGGATTCTTCAGGCCTCTCCTCACCATTGTCTTCTCCTCTTTCTTGATTTTTCCCAATACCTAAATCAAAACGAGAATGCATGATTCATCTACCCCAAAACAAAACAAACAATCCACTTTACTACAATTCTGTAACGTAATACATAATAGATACTTCAGATTAACGAATCCAAGAACAAATGTTAAGGCTTTTCGAAAAGCACAACCCAGAAGAAAAAAATATCGAATCCGCCCAAAATCCCTAGTATGTAAACAAAGCCAAGGAATCGGAGATACCTAACCCATCGGCAACCCAGAAGAAAAAAATATCGAATCCGCCCAAAATCCCTAGTATGTAAACAAAGCCAAGGAATCGGAGATACCTAACCCATCGGCAGCCTCATCGTCGAGCTTCGGTCGCTTCGCATGAGAAAAGTCAGTAGCTTTCTGGCCAATATCTACAGAGACTTCGTAAGAACGATCAATCGAGCCGTCGTGTTGCTCGAGGAGCTCCGATTCGACATTCTCAAGCTTGCGTTTGTGATCGGACGGCTGAACAGGGTAAGCGATAACATCTTCCTCCGCCATGTGTTGATCGGGAAAAAGCAAGAAATTGCCTTCTTTGGTGATAAATCGGCGACCAGGAAACGTTAGGGCTTCGGAACCAGTGAGTGTACGGGGAAAGGACGGGAAGTGTCGACTTGTGTAATTAAGCGTTTACTTCTACTCTCTAAATGGGCCTTTTTAAATAGGCCTATTGGGCCTTAATTTTGTTTCGAACTGAAGCAATTGTGTTTGGTTCCATTTTATATGCTCATCAGTTTCTATGTAAGAAAATTATTGGAGAAATAACGAAACATGGTGTTGGAGGTGAAAACCGCACCCCGATTTTCTCCAGTACAAACCGAGATCGGCGTAACGTAAACCAGGTTCACGAAAGAATGTATCGGGAAGACTGGGCCGAATAAAGTCTTGGGCCGAACGCAGCCCATTAAGCCGAGATCGGCGAGAAGCTTCTCGAAAGAACCGAGAAGTTCCCCGAATTCGGACAAAAATAGGAAAGTTTCGCAATGGAAAAGGAAACTACTATGAAAAAAAGGAAAAGGACCGAGAGAAAAGGAAATTCCTCTCGGTCCCATATCGCTGGAGATGCACTTGATGACCGACTCAGAGGATATATATAAAGGAAGATGAATCGACGCCAGAGAACACAAGATATTCCAGAGAAGACTTAGAGACTGAGAACTCATCACGCTAGATTCTTGGTTTCATAAACTCTTAGTTCGTTATTATCTACTTAACTACCGAACTCAATTGTACTCTTTCGATTCGATCTAATAAAACCCGAGTTTACCGATCTAAAGTACTGTTTTGCCCCTGGTCGATATTCACATATCAACAATTGGCGCGCCAGGAAGGGGGCCTAAAAAGAATTTTCAGTTTTAGATCGAACTTCGGATAGATCGAATCAGCAATGATGGATCAAGCCAACATTCACGAGGAAGGAAACCCTCTCGGTGGAGAGAACGCTAACGTCCGAAACCCAGCGGAGCAGGGAGGAGGAATTCCTGGGGAAAACGCTGTGACTGAAGCCGGCCAAACCCCCGCAGCCGTAGGAGGTTTTGGAACTGAATTGCTGCTCCAAGTGTTCAACGCCCAATTTGAGGCCATTAACAAAAGGAGTGAGGAACGTTTCAGTCAGATGGCAGCGCAAATCACCGAGCTCAGTCAAGCACGCACTCCCCTTCGAGTTCGGAACATTATTGACGACCTCAATACAGATGGAGACCCAGCCGGAACTAATGAGGTCTACCGCAGTCGGATCAGCAAACGCACCAGCGCCGGACCTAAGTCGCGACGCCGAGTTCGAAGCAATGAAGGCACAACTTCGTGAGATCACCTCGAAAATACATCAAGCAACAAGCGCAGCTCCGGAGATCGAGCACGTCATTCAGGAAACACAAAAAACACCCTTTACGCGCATAGCAGGAACACCAGTCAAACACATGGAGAAGCTTAAGATAAACATCTATGAAGGCAATACTGACCCCGGCACTTTTTGACATCATTCGGCATCTGCATGAATCGATACCAGTTCAAATCCGCCGAGGAGAGGGATGCGGTTCAGTGCCAGCTGTTTGTGGAGAGTCTGGGAGGAGTGGCTCTCGATTGGTTTTCACGACTCGAGGCGAACTCAATAGATAACTATAAGGAGTTGACGACGGCTTTCGTCGAACACTTCTCCATGTTCATCGGGCAGAACACCAAGAACTTCGAGCTCTGGCAAATAGCCCAAGGAGCAAGCGAGAGCCTTCGCGATTTCATCCAGCGCTTTAAGACGATTGTCGCTAATTGTACGATCAGCGATGAAGCCGCTCTCTTATGCCTTCAGAAAGGAGCTCGGATAAAGACTAGCTTCCGAAGCGCGATCACGCATAACCATCCACAGACGTTAGAAGACGCACTACACCGAGCTAATACTTACATTGCCGAAGAAGAAGAAGAAGCCGCTTATGAGCAAAGTTATTCGACAAAGCAACCCGAACGTTCGAAAGCAACAACTAACGAACCACAGTCAGGATACAGCAGAGGGTACGAGAATCGTAAGAAGTTCTACGCTAATGCGATCCAGCAAACAACCAAACAGTAAAACAATAAATGGGTCTGTGGTGAAGAAGATCAGGACGAGTCCTTTGTTCTGCGAATTCCACAACCGTAGAGGACATAGCACCGAAGAATGCAGACACCTGCGAGAATATCTACTCAGCCAACATCGAAAGGGGCCAATCTCGGTTGATGATCTCCGTCGCTTAAACACGCCTAGGAACAGTGGGCAAATCTCGGTTGACGATCTCCGTCGCTCAAACACGCCTAGGAACAGTGGGCAAATCTCGATTGACGATCTCCGTCGTTCAAACATGCCTCGACCAAACAACGTACAGCTCGAGAATGCTATCGCCAAGGATCCACCAACTCCACCAGCTTTACTGACGTTACCAGCTTTACCGGCGTTACCACCACCGCCACCGTATCTGCCTGCATTGCCCGAACAACAAAAACGCAATCGTGACGACCGAGCACCAGAAAACCATGCTCCCAAAGCAAGGAAACGCGTCAACATGATAATGGGGCCCATCGAAGCTTGCAGCTATTCGGTTTGAGCTATCAAAGAATACAGTAGACAGGCCGCCAGCGCACCCAAAGTCCCGCACGATCCGCCGAAAGGAACGCCTTTGGTATTTACCGAGGCTGGCACAATCGGGTTGTATAAACCGCACAACGACGCCCTTGTCGTCGAACTACTCCTCGACGACGTCGAAGTTAGCCGCATTCTGGTCGATACAGGCAGTTCGGTTAACATTATCTTCAAGGAAGCACTTGACCAGCTCGAGTTACTATCAGATAAGATTGAGCCTTTTATCGAGCCACTTACAGGTTTCGACGGAGAACGCTGCATGGTCAACATCCCGATCTACCTCGGCGGAGTCGCAAAGATCATCCAGTTCCTCATCCTCGACAAACCAGCAATCTACAACGCCATTCTCGGCACACCTTGGTTACACGCAATGAAGGCGGTGGCCTCGACGTACTCAGTGCCTGAAGATCCCAACTCCCGACGGTGTCTACACTCTCCGAGGAAACCAAGCCGTCGCACGATCATGTTACATAAACGAGTGCAAGTTTCGTTCGGCCAACCAAGCTTGTGTCATCAGTTCACTAGGTCCGACAAACGAGCTTGTCGTCCAGCAAACCAAACCTAAGCAGGAATCAATTATTCAAGTGTGGATCGACGCAGTAAGGCCAGAGCGTCAAGTCGGAATCGGTGCCGAACTCGACTCAAGCATCCGCGATCCACTCATTCACTTTCTGAAACAGCATTCGTCAACCTTCGCATGGTCGGTAGAAGATATGCCCGGGATTGATCCACAGATCGCGTGTCACGAGCTTAACATCGATCCAACATACAAACCGATCAAGCAGAAACGCCAAAAGCTCGGACCAGAGAAGGCACAAGCCGTCAATGATGAGGTCGAGCGGTTGCTTAAAGCAGGATCTATTACTGAGGTCAAATATCCTGATTGGTTAGCAAATCCCATAGTCGTTAAGAAAAAGAACGGTAAATGGAGGATTTGCGTCGACTTTACCGATCTCAATAAGACATGTCCGAAAGATAGTTTTCCTTTGCCTCATATTGACCGCCTTGTGGATGCAACTGCCGGAAACAAACTACTCTCGTTTATGGACGCATTCTCCGGATATAATCAGATTCTTATGCATCCGCAAGATCGGGAAAAGACATCGTTCATCACAGACCGCGGCATATACTGCTATAAGGTCATGTCTTTTGGTCTGAAGAATGCTGGAGCAACGTACCGACGACTGGTGAACCGGATGTTCGCAAGCCAGCTCGGGCGAACTATGGAAGTTTACATTGACGATATGCTCGTGAAATCACTCGTCGCTACCGATCACGTCGGTCATCTTCGCACATGCTTCGATATTTTAGACCAGTATTGCATGAAGCTTAATCCCACTAAGTGCACGTTCGGCGTAACGTCTAGAGAGTTCCTCGGATACATAGTTACACGGCGAGGCATCGAAGCTAATCCAAAACAGATCGCAGCTATACTCGAGCTCCCATCTCCGACAACCAAACGCGAAGTTCAGCGACTCATTGGACGCATTGCAGCACTTAGTCGATTTATATCCAGATCAACAGACAAGTGCTTGCTTTTCTACCAACTTCTTTGCGGTAACAAACATCTCGAATGGAATGAGAAGTGCGAAGAAGCTTTTGCCGAGCTAAAAAAATACTTGTCTACGCCACCAGTCTTATCCAAACCCGAAACCGGCAAAACACTCTACCTCTACATCGCAATTTCGGAGTACGCGGTCAGCAGTGTTCTTGTTCGAGAAGATCGTGGCGAGCAGAAGTCAATGTTCTACACAAGCAAATCCCTTGATGGGTCAGAGTATCGTTACACGACCTTGGAGAAGTTCGCCTTTGCCGTGGTTATTTCCGCGAGGAAGTTACGCCCGTATTTACAATCTCACTCGATCGTTGTCCTAACTGACTACCCTCTTCGCACTTTCCTCCATAGCCCAAGTCAATCCGGACGACTCGCCAAGTGGGCCATTGAACTTAGCGAGTATGACATCGAATACCGAGGAAGAACTGCAACAAAGTCTCAAGTCCTGGCGGATTTCTTGGTCGAACTCCCACCTGAGCTCGTCGAAGCTAATCCTGTCATAAAACCTTGGATTCTCTACGCCGATGGCTCCTCTTCCCATAAAGGATCCGACGTCGGGATTCGTCTCAAATCCCCCGAAAGGGAGGTTATCGAACAATCATTTCGTCTTAGCTTCCCGACGTCCAACAATGATGCCGAATACGAAGCATTGATTGTCGGACTACGACTTGCTAAAAGTATTGGTGCCGAACACGTACACGCTTACTGCGACTCTCAACTTGTGGCTAACCAATTTCACTGTGAATACGAGGCTAAGAACGATCGCATGGACGCGTACCTCAAAGTCCTTAAGGATGTTGCTTCGGAGTTCTCAACCTTCGAGCTTACAAAGATACCTCATGATGAGAACGCAACCGCCAACGCCTTAGCCGTTCTCGCGACTAATTCTGAACCCGATCTTCGGCGAACTATCCCAATCGCAGCAATCGAACGACCAAGTATCGAGCCTGGTCCGAACTGCAACATCATTACAAGACGCCGTGATTACGAAGCCCAACCCAATCTCGCTCCACCCCTCACCCGGAAGACGAAACCCAGAGAGGTCGTCACCGATCTCAACACCAACATGGACGAACAAAACGATAACGAATCTGATCTCAAAGACGAGTCCGAAGGCCAACACGTTCCAATCGATATCGAAGCCGAAGGTGAAGACGAGCCCAAAGATTGGACCTTAGAAATTGTGGGCTACATTGGAGATGGAACGGTCCCTGCAGATAAATGGGCAGCTCGGCGCCTTAAGGCTCGTGCAGCTCGATACATGGTCATTAAGGGCACTCTTCTCAGATGGGATGTGTCCGGTGTACTCTTGACTTGCGTTCACGGCAACGACATCATGGAAGTAATGCAGAAAGTATAAGAAGGAGAAGGAGGGAATCACTCTGGAGCTCGGTCTTTGGCGTTCAAGATCAAAAAAGCTGGCTATTATTGGTCCACTATGCTTTCCGACTGCGAAAAGTATACAACACGCTGCGAGAAATGCCAACGTCATGGCCCGATGATCAAGCTTCCTACCGAGCACTTGATGACCTCGACCGCACCATACCCTTTCATGCGCTGGGCAATGGACATCATCGGTCCTTTTCGCCGATCTACGACTCAGAAGCAATACGTTCTGGTCGTCATGGACTACTTCACCAAATGGGTCGAAGCCAAGGCATACCCCGAGATTCACAGAATCGATGTCAAGAAGTTCGTCTGGAAATTTATCATCTGCCGACACGGAGTCCCGTACGAGATCGTTACGGACAACGGAACCCAATTCACTTCGATAATTTTCACTGATTTTTGCGTCAAGTGGAAAATCCGACTAAGTTTCTCTACCCCGCGATACCCACAAGGAAACGGACAAGCCAAAGCCACGAACAAAACCATTATTGATGGTCTGACGAAGCGACTCGATACCGCTAAGGGAACCTGGACGGACGAACTCGATGGTGTCTTATGGTCCCACCGAACTACACCACGACGTTCGACCGGTCAATCACCTTTCTTCCTCGCATATGGTATGCTATATGTCCAGCCGAACTCAACGTCCCAAGTATTCGCCGAACTATGCTCACCCAGCAACCCGACACGAATAACGATATGATGCTCGACATAATCGACTTAGTCGAAGAACATCGCGAACGAGCATTACTCCGGATATAAAACTACCAACAACTGGCAGCTCGTTACTATAACAAGAAGGTTAAAAGCCGTCACTTTGAAGATGGTGATCTCGTACTTCGCAAAATCTATCAAAACACAGAAGAAAAGAACGCAGGAAAACTCGACGCGAACTAGGAATTCCATACCAAGTGATGAAGGTTGTTAAGCCCGGCGTTTATCAACTCATGAAGTTAGACGGAACTCCGATCCCGTGATCTTGGAACTCAATGCATCTCAAACGATACTACTACTAGTTCGTTACGAGCTTGATCAAAAAAAAAAAAAAGCCTCCGAACTACTTAGTCGAAGCAAAAAACACTTTTGTACTTAGAAGTACGAATGGCTTGATCCCTTTAAAGGGTACGTAGGCAGCTCGTTACCGAGTCCAGATATAACATCAATAAAATTTTATTAAGTCAAAAACGTCTAAGTTTGAGTTCGGAAATCACAAGACACCGAACTCCTTGTTTTTACATCGAATTCTTGGCCAGTTGTTTGATAGCGTTCCACATGAATGCAAACTTAAAAAGCCGAGATCCGTCTTGCGAACACCCACATGGTGCCGCGACAAAACCACATATCAAAAGCCGGGGCCAGTCCCACAGTTAAATTTCTAAGTTACCAAGAACAATAAGCCTTGGACTCGTTTCGTGCGCTTACAGGAGTTCGAGTAAATTCACTCTTCCAGTACGACAACGATTTACTTGGGTTCCCCAAGCCGAGCTCAAATGCTCGCACAATAAGCTGAACTCCTCAGATTCGCACTATAAGCCGAGTTCTCAACACTCGCAAATGTAAGCCGAATTATCGCAATTCGCTACCGAAAGATAAAATTATGTTCAAACGACACTCGCTAAGTTACCGATCTATTACTTGCGAGAAAATGGTTTTGAAAAATTAGGAAAAGATACCATCAAAAGAACGGAAAGGCATATCATAAAATACGAAAAATAATAAGTTCAAAAACCCACCGAGGGTCTAAAAATAAGCATTACATATAAAGTAACACATGAAAGGGCAAGTAAGTTCGAGAAAGAGAAGAAACAGAAAAAGACTAAGTGGTCTTTGAGGTTGCAGCTTGATCGGCGTTCAGCATGTCCTCGTTCGATCCGAATTGCTCGCCCCTCACAAGATCTTGTGCACTCTGAGTCACGTTTGCAATCGGGACATAATTTTCGTCCGGGAAAGGAGACATCCGCTTATCCTCCTCGGTGAGAACGCAAGCATCGATTGAACGAAACTCTTCTAACGCCTTAGCATGCTTCGCCTCGATGTCGGCTACCATCTCTGGCGGGACCTCGTAGAAACCTTTCTTCTTCAGCTGCTTAATGAAGCCGAGAACTCCACTGAGCTGGTTGACCACCAGGTACGGCTTACGAGCCCGATCAGCATCATCCAAGCTTCGGATGACCTTCTCTAAACGTTCGCAAGCCTTTGCGTGAACGCTCCTAACTCGACCCTTCCAGTGGGTCACCAAGTCCCGCAGCCGCTCCCGGTCTTTCTCAAACTCCTGAGCAAGCATGCTTTGAGCCTCAGTCAGCTCTTTTCTCACCGCTTTCAACTCCGCGCTCTCTTGCTTCAGCAGATTGACCGAAGAGTGGAGAGTGTCATTGATTTGGAGCTTGGTAGCAAGGTGTTCTTCCGCTTTGACGACCTTCTCCTCAAGCTCGGCGATCCTAACCTGCTCGTCATACAGTGCGACTTCATACGCCGCGACCAAGTTGTTGGTCTGACTGGCGAGCTGCACGAAGTGAAATATGAGTTAGAACTCATACTTAGAAAAATAATAAGATCAAGAAAAGAAATAAGGAAATTACCACGGCAGTTGTACGAGCAATTCCCTTATACAAGTTGGGAAAGCGTAGCTCGGAGATCGCCGGAAGACTCGGAACCTCGGTTGAGATCTTGTGGTATAGGTCGGCACAGGCATCGACGTTCTCCTCAAAGGGGGTCTCCTCGTAATAGTCAAAGTAGACCTTAGCCCTCTTAGCCGGCTCTGATCCTGGAGAACCCTCGGCTTGATCTCTTTCCTGCCTTTTCCGGGAATGTGAGGCCTCAGCTCGATCCTGAGGCATAGCAAGGTCCGACGTCACAACTGTCGGTAGCTCGAGCTCATCAGCAGCACCTTGCACCCGAGAAGATTCTTCAATCCTCTTAATCTTCTTTGAGGACTTCTTCTTCTTCAACTTCTTCTGACCAGCCTGGTCAGGTGAGTTCGCAACAGGCGGCAGTTCTCCAGGCTGCTCGTTGGTCCCTTCGGCGGCAAGGGTAGGAGTCGGATCTGCAACGTTCGGCTCCTCTTCATCGAACAGAGTTGGGATTTCATCAAGCAAAAGCATCCTTGCTGTTCGGGTTCGTTTAGCTCGCGATTTCGGCGCTTTTCGTCTCGGAGCAGGTCGGGGCTTGTTAGCTCGAGATTTTCGTTTCAGCGGCTTTGGTTCTTGGACGGAACCTGCAAGGGAAATATATCAAGAGGGAGTTCGGAATAAGCTCAAAATAAGAAAGTAGAGGTGAACTTAATAGACAAACCTGCTTTCTTAGCTCGACGTTGAAGGATTTCTTCCCAAACTTCGGGCCAACGGCGTTTACCGGCCTCACTAAAAGCGGCTTCAAATTCGGAAGTTAGTCCGGAGTTGAGAAGAAGACTTGAGAGATGACAACCTGCAAAAGATGGAACGAAAGAAAGTTAGCAAAATACAAAATCAGAATTTAACTAAGTACGAGATCATCTAAATCTACCAATCGGAATCTTCCACTCCGATTGAGTTGGGATGTCAGAGTTGCTGACGGTGAGATCGTTCATCTCGAGATAAAAATACTGGGATTCCCAGTCATTGAATTTACTGGGCTTAGCCCAGTAACGATGTTCTTTCTCGGCTTGGCGTTCGCTGCGAAGAACCAATCCTTGGATTTGTGGATGTTGACCGAGAAGAGGTCTTCAAAAAGCCGAGTGGATGGGATTTCGCCGAGCTCATCGCATAAAGTAACGAACCCTACGTAGTTCGTTATTGAGGCCGGCATCACTTGTGTGAGAGCTACGCCATGCCGATTACAGTACCCAAGAAGACGGGAAGGGATTGGAAGCGAGAGCCCGCACTGCGTGAAATAGGTCAAGTAGACGCAGAGGAAGCCTTCGGGGACGTCCCACGGCCGATCTCCAGCTTCTGGAATTATAAAGATGACTTGGTCCGAGAGCCCGTTTTCTTCGAGTACGGCCTGAACAGCACCCGGAGAAATAGAAGAAGACGGCACGTTGTTGGGACGAACGATCCTTCGCCTTGGAAGTGGTGGTGAAGCATGGTACACTGCTTCGAGGTTGTCCTCGGCAACGTCTGCTTCAGTGGCGTTCTCCTCCTGATTCTCTTCCTCCACCTCCTCGATCTCATGGTCAATACCGCCAGTGTTCGGCCCGGTCCGAGCTCCCGTTTCGCGAGTCTCTGTAGTCAGTTGCTCGGTAGCTTCGACTCGAGGTCTAGCACGACTGCTGCTCGCATCAACCGACCTAGAGTTCTTGCGAACTAGCTGGGGGGGATTGCTCTCTCTTTGAGAAGAATCTTATGAATGAGGATGTGAAGAGGAAGAGCTCGGCTCCGTAGGCTCACGGCGATCTTCCGGAAGAATCTGATTAGAAGAAGAATTGATCGAAGAGGAGTTCGAAGACATGTTGAGTTCGGAGAAATGAAGTCGAAAGAGGATCTGGAGAAAGTAAAGAACAGCTTGAAGATCGATCGGAAAAGATTGAAGATCGATCGGAGAATTTGAAGATCGATCGGAAAAGTCAAGAAATCGCGGCGGCGGGAGTTGAAGAAACGAGAGAGAACTACAAACGAAAACTAGAGAGAGAAACAAAATCTAGAGAGAAGGGAGAGCAGCATACCTTATATATGCTTGAGCGAGAATAATGAATGCGAGAAGAAATTATTCTCTTATAAACAGTGGGAATCGTGGTTCTTCGATTTTCGCGAAACCCCGGAAATCACGCGCCTCATTGAAGACAGGGTGCGAAATGTCCGGGAATGCGAATCGATTGCAGTTACCGAGCTCGGTTTGTGATCTACTTTTAGGTTTGAAACAAACGAGTTCGACTAAAAGCCGCTTCCTTTCATCGAACTGAGGGGGGGGCTAACTGTTGGAGGTGAAAACCGCACCCCAGTTTTCTCCGGTACAAACCGAGATCGGCGTAACGTAAGCCCGGTTCACGAAGGAATGTACCGGGAAGACTGGGCCGAATAAAGTCTTGGGCCGAACGCAGCCCATTAAGCCGAGGTCGGCGAGAAGCTTCTCGAAGGAACCGAGAAGTTCCCCGAGTTCGGTCAAAAATAGGAAACTACTATGAAAAAAAGGAGATGCACTTGATGACCGACTCAGAGGATATATATAAAGGAAGATGAATCGACGCCAGAGAACACAAGATATTCCAGAGAAGACTTAGAGACTGAGAACTCATCACGCTAGATTCTTGATTTCATAAACTCTTAGTTCGTTATTATCTGCTTAACTACCGAACTCAATTGTACTCTTTCGATTCGATCTAATAAAACCCGAGTTTACCGATCTAAAGTACTGTTTTGTCCCTTCACTACAAGAAAACAATCGTTTTCCAACGGTCCATTACGACGGTTTTTAAATCGTCACAAACTTACAACAATTTTACGACGATCTTACGTCTAATTTTAAAACCGTCGTAACACCGTTGTATAAAAAGATCGTCGTAAACTCGACGTACAATTTACGACGAATTACGACGATTATACATCGATAACGAGAGATTTGCTAGTAAATGTAAAATCATCGTAAATTCGATGCAAAATTACGATGAATATATGACGACTGCATTTCGATGTACATATTACGATGATTTTACGTCGAAAAAAAAGTTAGGTGAAAAACATTTAAAACATGTTTACCTAACAATTGTAGATGAAATATTTTATCGCATAATCGTCGTAAACTCGTCGTAATATTATTGTTGAATGTAAAACCGTCGTAAAAAGTCGTCGTAAAAGCGTTGTAAAGCCCGAATTTTCCTATAAATAGATTTTCATTCCTTCATTCAATCACAACACATCATCATTCAAACATAAGAGCATCTTCATCTTGGAGACCCATTGTAGGTCTCTTAAATTTTAGTATAGTGTTGTAAATCCTTATATATTGGGTTGTCCATTGTTGGAAACCCGAATTAAGAGTTATATTACTTTGAAAAAAAGAAGTAATAATATTATAAGGTTAATTTACTCCATTCACGTGGCTAGACGTGACACAAGAGACCACCTCCTTTATTGTCTAATCAATAAAAAGAGATATTATTTTGAGTTTATTTTCAAGATGTCTATATACGAGCTAAGAAGTTGGATGTATATGCGTAAAGATTCAGATGGGGCGTTGACACAAATATTTATGTTTCAGGCTACAAATATGGAGAGAACGAAAGATAGTGGGAAGATGTTTTGTCCTTGTTTGAAATGCAAGAATACGAGGTATACACTAACCAAAACCGTGTGGACGCATTTATTAAATAGAGGGTTTATGCCGCAATATTTTGTTTGGTATCTACATGGAGAAGGATATGGCAGTAATACTCATGGGAATGCTGGTAGTAGTAGTAATTATCAAAGTCATGTTGATATTGATGAATCGAATTATGGTCATCAGCCTAATCAGTATCAATATGATCAAAGTGTAGATCATGATAGGATGCACGAAATGGTGACTGATGCATTTCATAAAACGCATACTGGTAATGCTGTTGAGGAACCTAATGTAGATGCCAAATGATTTTATGATTTGTTAGACAATGCTAATCAGCCAATCTACGAAGGATGTAGAGAAGGCTTGTCTAAATTATCGTTGGCAGCTAGGATGATGTCAATTAAAACAGATCATAACCTGACTGAGGTTTGCATGGTTGATTGGGCTGATCTTCTGAAGGAGTATCTACCAGAGGATAACTTGGCAGCGGGAACATACTATGAAATTCAGAAGTTGATTTTTAGTCTTGGTCTACCTTCTGAGATGATAGATGTATGTGTTGACAACTGTATGATTTTTTGGAAAGATGATAATCAGCTGGAGGAATGTCGATTTTGCCGAAAACCAAGATACAGGCCGCAAACTGGTGGGCGTAAAAGGATACCGTACCAACGTATGTGGTATCTGTCTATAACTGATAGGTTAAAAAGGCTTTATCAATCTGAAAGGACAGCTGCATCAATGAGATGGCATGCAGAACATACACAAGTAGATGGAGAAGTTGTTCATCCATCAGATGCAAAGGCATGGAAACACTTCAATATGGTATACCCAGATTTTGCTAAGTTCAAACGGAATGTCTATCTTGGTCTGTGCACTGATGGTTTTAGTCCATTTGGTATGTCTGCTAGACAATATTCATTGTGGCCAGTAATCCTAACTTCTTATAACCTTCCTCCAGATTTGTGCATGCAAAGGGAATTTATTTTCCTAAGTATTTTGGTTCCAGGTCCAAATCATCCGAAGCGAGCTCTCGATGTATTTCTGCAGCCACTCATACATGAGTTGAATCAGTTATGGTATACTGGCGTTCGTACATATGACTGTTCTACGAGGAACAAATTTACTATGCGGGCTGTGCTTATGTGGACAATAAGCGATTTCCCCGCTTATGGTATGCTATCAGGATGGACTACACATGGGAGGCTATCTTGTCCTTATTGTCTTCATCGAACTGATGCGTTTCAGCTAAAACATGGTAGAAAAACTTGTTGGTTTGATTATCACTGGAGGTTTTTACCGGATAACCATCCATATCGGGAAGGCTCAATTGTGGCGGGAAGCTTGACGCAAGAGACTTCACACTTCACTTCATACTATTTTGCACCGAAAGTACGAACACGCAAAAGAGCTACTCGTCGATATGATGATGGAGGAGTTGGCCATACATATGCCGTTGAAGGTGTACCTGACATATTCTCGCCGATCGGACGTCTTAGTGGAAAACTAAAAGATGTTTGGTGGTCCAATGAAAAAGATTATCACAGTGCACATACGTATATCCTGTTAAATTGTGAAGAGTTGTCATCGTATGAAATGTACTTTTTAATTAATAATATCTTTATATGAGTTGTCAGTATTAATAACTATATTGTTGTTTTTCTCAGCACATTTGTTGATGAGGTTAAAGAATGCATATCTGGGGTTTCTGAAACTGAAATCAATGATCGTAAAGATCAACACTATGCCCAGTGGTTAAAAGGACAAATACGTATAAAATTTTAATTAAAAGACTACTTTAATTTGCTATATATCCAAATCAAGAAATTAAAGCGGAATTTTTTTCTTATTAGGTGGACCCGAATGATCCGGATGAATTTTCAACATGGTTCCATGAGCTACTACTAGGTCTGATGGCAAAAATAACTACAGCCTCAATGTATTTCACTCAGGGCTAAGTTTTTCACACATACCGTCACGGTGCAAAGCGGGCGACAACTAACTATGGAGTTTGTGTGAGGGGTGAAATCGATTTTTATGGAGTTCTGCAAGAAATAATTGAAGTAGAGTATCCTGGATTGTTAAGGCTGAAAACTATTCTCTTCAAATGTGATTGGTTTGATCCAACTGTTGGAAGAGGGGTACGTCTAAACAAGTTTGGAGTTGTTGACGTGAACAAATCACGATGGTACAACAGGTTTGAGCCATTTATATTAGCTTCTCAAGCAGAACAAGTAACGTTTCTGCTAGACCCTCGAGTTCGATCAACAGGAATTTCATGGTTAGCTGTAGTTAAAGTGGCTCCAAGGGGCAAGATTGTAGGGGTTGAAGATGTTCCACTTCAACAGAACACTTGTGTAGATCTGTCTGAACCAGATGTTGATGAGGAGATTTAATAAACCCCCGAAATAGGCAAGTTGAAGATCTTCCCGAAGATACAGAAGAAGAAGGTGATAATGAGTTTGCTGAAACCGATGATGACGATTTGGCGGAAGAAGACGGTGATGGTGATGAAGTAATAGAGGAAGATGAGTCTGATTGAGTTTCATGCATTGTATTTAGTGAATGTTTGGGTTTATGTAATTTGTAACTTTGTTTGTTTGAATTTTTTAAAAACCCTAAAATTCGGGTTTAAACCCTAAACCCTAAGTCTAGGTTTTAAGCCCTGTTGAATAGGGTTTCAACATTACGACGTCGTTACGACGAACCATCGTAATATCGTCGTAAGGTTACAACGGTTTTACGACGAGTACACTATTTCGTCGTAAAATCGTCGTAATGTTGAAATCCAAGAATTTGAATCTTTTATATCTTATTGGTTGTAAGATATTTCACAAATGTTTTTGAATGGTTATGTTATTTTATATGAAATGCTATCAATCTGATCAATCAAAAATTTGAAAAAAAAACATACATATTTACAAGTTCATGCATGTTTTCGTAAATGTTAAGTGAAAGGTTATATATTAGACTACGGAATTTCAATTTTTACTATCTCATGTCACAAATCCATCATACATGCAAAGTTGTAAACCTTTTGTTATATGTTAGGATACAATAACCTTTGCATTGTTCTTCATTCAATATCTCATTTATAAGATTTAGGGTTTACTCACTTTTTTAAAAAACTTCGTAAAACCGTTGTAATATAATCGTAAATTTACGACGGTTTTACGTCGAAGTTCTCTAAAACCATCATAAAACCGTCGTAATGTTTGCACCGGATAGGCTCTTGATCCGAGGTACGAGGTTATAAATGTTTAAACGTTACGACGGTTTTACGATGGTTTTGGGTAAAATCGTCGTAAAACCGTCGTAACGGTCAAACGCTCCCATCACGACACGTGTCATGTCATGCAGTGGACCGACTGTTATACAACCGAATCGTCGTAAAATCATCGCAAAGTTACGACAATTTTACGACGATCACAAAATCTATATAAGGGACGCGAGTTTTCCCCCTTTCGTCGTTCATTCCTCTCTTCTCCCCTCTCTCTCTACAATACTTTCTCTCTCTAAACCCTAACCCACTCCCTCTCTCCCTACTCTCCCAGCCAATACTTGTAAGTTTTTTTTTAAATTAATTTCATTACATATTCTTTTAGATTTAGGTTCGGAATTTAGATTTAGGTTCGGAATTTAGATTTAGGTTTCGAAATTTAGATAGGCCCGGATTTTGTAAATTTAAATAAATATTTGCAAAATTAGTAACAAATTTTTTTAAATTTTGTAGATTCTGTCGATATGGCTCCTCGGGCTAAGAGATTTCACTACCGACAGCTGGTAGAATTCTGACGGTTCGGCCCCGTCTACCTCGGCGACCGGATCAGCCATCCCGGAGTCCTTGGGCACACAACGGACGGTTTCCCAGCCGTCACCGCCTCCACCACCACCAGCCCAACTAGCGGCTCCCGCACAGGCCGAGCCTGAGGCTGATCCGATCCCGCCTGTACTGTATGCCCATTTTACGGTACAAGATCTTCTTGCACAGCCGAGTGGTGAGACCATGAACAAACTCGACCCGGATCGAGCCCCGGGCACATTTTGGTACGAAATTTTTTTCCTACAATATTTTTAAATTAATTAATAATTATTCTTATATATTTGAAATTAATTTACTTTTGTCTTACTATTTGACTAGGTTTACAACCGACAATACAGTCGGTCGTAACGTTGCGGATATCATCAAGGGATTTTTCGTACAACCCCATATCAGCTGGAAGAAGCTAGATCAGGCCACACTTGACACTTGGTTCAAGTGTTTTGCGGTAAGTAATTTACAATTTTGTTTAATTTTAATTTTAAATTTTAACTCTTTACAATAATTACTAACTTCTTTTTTTTCCTAGCAAAACTGGCATTGGGAAACATCCGCACACGGACGTGTGGAGACGGCCTTCAAGGAGAAGGTCGAATTCCGCCTCAACAACACCGTTTCCGACTGGAAATAGAAGTAGGAGGTTGACGGCGACAAGGCCAAGCCGGCGCCTATGGCCAATACCGTCTGGCGGGGCCTTGTCCAGTACTGGTTGGAACCGCACAACCAGACTACGGCCGCCAAGTGTTCCGGATCTAGGTAAGTAGTTAATTCCAATATATTTACATTATTTGTTTTCATTAATTCTTATAATAGATTCTAATGAAAATATTTTTCAGGAACGCTACTGACGATGCGAGAAATCGGAAGAACGTTCCGCACACCTCCGGCCAGATTCCTTTTGCCGGAAGACGGCTTATGATGGTAAGTAAATTAAAATTACTAATTTTTTTGTTTTCAAATAATTAACCCTTATTTGTCGATACTAATTTTTTCATTTTGATTTTGTAGGTCGAAGATAACGGAGGAGAACTTCCTCCGATGACAAAGGTTTTCGCCGAGACGCATAAGAAGCGGAACGGCGAATTCACGGATCCTCGGGCGGAGGAGATCTACAACGCCGCCTGTGCGGCGATCGAGGAGCGACAGACGCAGCTGACTCAGCAGGCGCGTCAAACTTCTCTCGGAGGTAGCTCGGTCCAATCGACCCCGGCGCTGACGGTGGCGGAGATGGACCAGATTTTTGAAGAGGTAAATTTAATTACTATATTTAATTAATGTAACTTTAGTTTTAAATTGAATTTCTAACCATAATGTTTTTAAATATTTGTAGGTTGCCCCAAAGAAAAAGGGGCGGGTATTAGGAATGGGGTCCATCCGTGATATCCTGAGAGCTACGACGACTAGTCACGTCCGGGTCTCGGATCCGGTTATCCGCCAGGAGATCGATCAGATGCGGACCCGTTACGAGACGAGGATCGACCAGCTCTACAGTCTCTTCGAGATCATGGGAGCCGACAACCCGGTGCTCATGGTGCAGTTGGAGAAGCTGCGGGCTGATGGGGTTGTCGGATCGTCTGCCGCCGGGTCATCCACTAGGACGCAACCGCCGGTGCAGACGGACGAAGAGATGTTCTGATCTCTCGGGGTTGAGCCGGAGATCAGGCGCCGGCGGAAGCATCAAACCGAAGACCCGGCAAGGAACACGTCCAGGACGATGGGGAGGAGGCCGGTGACGGGATCGACGATATAGATTTAGATTTAGATTTAGAGCTGTAGGGTTTTTATGTAAATTACAATTAATTTTAATTTGAAATTTTAATTTCAATTTTTAATAAATTTTAAATTGTAAATTATTTTTTTTTAATTTAAATTTTAATTCGAATTAATTTTTTTTTAATTTTCAATTATATTAAACGTCGTATAATCGTCGTAATATCTTTATTTAAAACCGTCGTACACTCGTCGTAAATATTACGACGAATTTACGACCAAAATGTACGACGACAAATACGACGATTATACGTCCGTGCTTTACGACAATTTTACGACGAAATGATTAAATACTTTACGATTGATTTACGACGATTTTTGCGTCGTACATTTAACGAAGATCTTACGTCGACCATTAACGACCACTTAACGACGGTCCAGGCAAAGACCAAGTCGACGCAATTTGATGTAAACTTGTCGTAAACTGTACGACGCATTTACGACGATTTAGTTTCCCTCGATGTTACGAAGAAATGAAACCGTCGTATATTATACGACAATTTTACGACGATTTGTCTATTACGACGATGACTTTACGACGATTTTGAAATCATCGGTAGTTCGACGTAATAGCCCTATTACGACGAAATAACGACCATTTTGGCCGTTGTAAAATGATGTTTTTCTTGTAGTGCTTGTCGATATTCACATATCAACACATTGTGTGCACCAGATGACAGTGATAACAACACGGAGTGAAGATATATATGAAGATGGAAACTTCAGACAGAGATTATGGACTAGTGAAACTATTGACGCAAAAATTCATAATTGAGGATGAAGCTCATGTTAAAGATCATTGCATGACACTTCCACGGACTTTTCTAGTCTAAACTGTAAACGAGACCAAACTTAATCTCAAGTGGGACACTGAAGTCAATGTCTTTAAAAATGAGTAGGATACTGAAGTTTTGATATCAAAATATCGACATTTACAAACTGTTGTCTGTTGGCATTTTGCCATGCAGTGTACAATTTGGAGGTTCAACCAATGAATATGTTATCACTACAAGAGATAAGGCAGATAACATCACTTATAAAGTGTCAAAAATATAAATGATGCTAACTAGAATCACTTGCTAAAAATTGACATTACATATGTAATTTTACATCAATTATATTAATTGATTTCATATTAAATTGATTAACATAAACTAAAATAAAACTGATACAAGTCAATCTTAATTTATGTCACTTTTTATAAACTGACACAAATATATGAGTTCATATCATTTCAAGAACTGATGTATTTAGTATTTATTTTTAGCATCACTAAACAAAGGGAAAACAACATATTTCCCCACTATACTTTCATATTAGCGCAGATCCACCCCAAGTTTGAGGGTCGTATTATTTCTCCCTCTGACAAAAGTTCTCATCCTAATTCCTCTCGTACTTAAATTTTCCATCCCGTTTCCCCCTAAAATGAAACTTTTAATCCTAATTTCCCCCGAACGATGGTTAATATTGGTTTACTGTTACCAAATAATACTTAATCATTTTTAATCGATCTAAACCAGACTGTGACCCGAAGTAAACCTCTAAACCATAATTTGACCCGATTAATATGTCTAAACCATTATTTAACCTGCTAACTAGAAATTGAACTGGAACCCAGAAAAAAAAAACCCCAAATCAAAAGAAGGTCAAAATCCCCAATTCCTCTAAGAACCCTAGAAACACGAAAAATTCCCATATTGAATCACCAATCTCTCACCCGAGGAATATCGCACTTGAAGCATCGCGAAAGGTATGTGGAAGCAACTAGTTTTTCGATTTCCTTTTGCGATAAGGGGTTTTGGGAATCGTTTTTGTGAACTCAATTTTGGGAATTCGATTTTGGAAATTCTGTTTGGGGAATTCAGGTGTTTTAATGTGTTCATATGCAGGTTGTTCTATCTGGAGAATGTCGCTTGTGGAGTAGCATAATGTGCGTGATTTCGTGGAATACCATCCACCGGATGTTGATTCTGATGGTGAAGACCGTCGTGAGCGTCACGACTATGACATTGAGGAAGCCTTAGTCCAGTTTGTTGAGGAGCCTCCAATCAGGCACAACGTGCACCCAGAGTCTGATGATGAAGAAAACGAAGGTCAGAGAGAAAGAAGGCGTTGCCATATCAGAAAAGGTAATGGTCGTTTATTCAAAGGACAACTCTTCATGAATAATATAGCGTTTAAGGAGGCTGTATTGGACCATGCTTTGAGAAATTGTCGGAATATAGATCAGTATAAGTATGATAAGACTAGGGTTGCGTTTCATTGTCTGGGTGAAGGTTGTGATTGGCGCATATATTGCTCAGTTTCTAAGAATAGTAACAGGTGGCAGGTTACAGTTTTTGTATCAGTTCATAGCTGTGTTCCGAATGGTCAGCAAAAGCTGTTAAAAGCCCATGTCATTGCCCGTTTATTCGTTAATAAGATCCGTGAAGAACAAGAGTACAATTGATTATGGAGAAGTGGAGGATAGCTGTGACAAGAAACCAATGCCATCATGGTAGGAATAAGGCATTAAGATGGATTGAGAAGGAGTATGCAGAGCAGTTTGTACGTTTACGTGATTATGCGGATGAGATTGGGCATTCAAACCCTGGTTCTTCGGTGGAAGTCGACTGTATTCCAAAGGTGTTATGTTTGTTTCGACAACCTTAGGAGATCATGGAAAGCACATTGTCGGCCTCTTATAAGAGTTGATAGATGCTTCTTGAAATCAGTTCAGAATGGTGAGTTGTTTGTGGCTAGTGGGAGAGATGCTGATAACAGCATATATCCAATCGCATGGGCTGTAGTTCAAAAAGAAAACACAAACAACTGAGCATGGTCTTTTCGTATGATAAAGGTGGATTTGGGACTTGGATATGGAGATGGAGATGGATATATTTTGGTGTCTGGCCGTCAAAAGGTAATGTTTTCTTTCGTTTCTAATGTTTTATTACTTATGATTAGTTTTGTTCACTTTTTTTTTTGCTATTGTAGGGTTTGATCACTGCTGTCAAGGAAGAACTACCTATGATAAAACATAGAATGTGTGTGAGACACATTTACATGAATGTGAAGTCCCGACATGCTAAGATGCCGGAGCTGAAGACGATGATTTGGCATCTCGCTTGGAGCTACAACTTAGCAGAGTACAACGAAAATTTGAAAAAAATTGAGCTGTATGATGCAGCTCTCTATGCTGATGTGATGTGTACTAAGCCAGAGACTTGGTGCAGAGCATTCTACAAGCTTTGCCCATATTGTGAGAATGTGGAAAACAACACTATAGAATCGTAGTCAAGTGAGGACTTGAAAGTCAACACTATGTGGTCAAGTGGTTTAAGACAGAAACGTGGAGGAATTTGTACAGAAATGGAATTGTTCCAGTTAGAGGTGCTCGGTTTTGGCCAGTTGGAGATGAACAACCAATAGTTCAACC